AACCATAGGACTGGTAAGATCCCCAAGTAAGACAATATCTGTAAGTCTCCTTTACATACTGTAGGTGTAATATACAAATATAACATGACATTACATTACTCTTGATTAGATAGTTCACCGTTGACACTGAAATCAAAGTACCCAATTTCTTTCAGCTCCCAAAATAGGATTCAGAGGCTCAGCAAAGACCAACAAAGACAGCTGTCAGAAACCGGTGAGAAGCCAATCCATGAAATAATTCAGCCCAAGAGCACTGATTTGTATGGAAACTGTTTCAAAGTGACATCCTTCAAGTGTCCTATGAGCACACAGACTCCCAGTTGGACTGAGAAGACAAGGATACCAACAGAAGGTGGTTTGTTTGTTTGCTTAGGATTTTAATAAATACAAAGATTGCTTTCACTATATCATCATTAATAAATCCTATGAAATTTGGAACAGAGAGGATTAATAGCCATTTTATTGCTGATTCTGAAAAATACTTGCCTTAATTTCTATATGAATGTAATACAGAAAAAAAGTTTAATATAGCTTTGAAAAAAAATCTATTTAATTGCCTTATTCCCAATACCTTATCATTGATGCCTTCTCCATACCATAGAATAAAAAAGAAATGAACTGATACACATGACATGGATGAATCTCAAAATCATTGTGCTGAGTACAAGAAGTCAGACACAGAAAAGTAAATGCTGTACGAAATCTCATGTATATGAAATGCAAACTAATTTATAGAGACAAAAAAAAAAAGATAAAGTTTTCCTGGAGAAAGAAGGGATAGAGTAGGAGATGAAGGGAAGAATGGACTAGAAAGGAACACAAGGAATCTCTTAGGGATGATCTTTTCTAGATCGTGAATGTGGTGATGGTTTCACAATTGTTTACAACTGTTGAATTACCAGAGTTTTAGTTTCCAGAGCAACTAGCTAGGTGGGGTTATCCTCTGCTGGGATGGTAAAGACTGAGGGCCGACTAGCTAGGTGGGGTTATCCTCTGCTGGGATGGTAAAGACTGAGGGCCGACTAGCTAGTTGGGGTTATCCTCTGCTGGACGGTAAAGACTGAGGGCCGAGCAGCAATTCCGTTTAGACTTGTGTTTGAAATGCCTTTCAGACACTGAAGCAGAGGTACTGAATTAGCAGTTGGATATAGGAGTCTGGAGTTCAAGGAAGAGGTCTGAGCTGGATATACATTTAGGTATTTTCAGATAAAGATAGGATTTTAGGGCATGAACCTGGATGAGACTCCTAAGTGAGGATGGATAGAGAAGAGGGTTGAGCAAATCCTTGGGAATTCCAGTACTGATGGATCGGGAAAAGAATAAGAACCAACAAAGAAACGTAAGGAGCACCTTGTGGGTGAGGAGGAAAACCAAGAGCACTGTTGTCCTAGAAGTTCAGTAAGGAGGTGTGGCAAGGGGGGAGGGAATAACCAACTAAGTCTAATGCTTCTGGTAAGTGATGTGGATTTACTACTGGGTTTTACAACATGGAGGTTTTATTCAGGATCTGGGTCAGAGAAATTTCAGTAGAATGACAGAGGTACAAATCTAATTAAAGTGTATTTTAAAATAGGAGATTGGAGACAGTCTTCATGGAATTTTGTTGAAAAGGGAGATTTTTTTTTTCAGTGTCCACCACAGCTACTAAAAATTCTGTTTCTCAACCTTATTCAACCTTTCCTGAGCTGAGATTCTCAGATTCTTGATTACATTATTTTTTTAAAAAGATTTTATTTATTTGACAGAGAAAGAGAGAGCACAAGCAGGGGGGAGCAGGAGAGGTAGAAGCAAGTTCTCCACTGAGCAGGGAGCCTGATGCGGAACTCGATCCCAGGAACCCAAGATCATGACTTGAGCCGAAGGCAGACGCTTAACTGACTGAGCCACCCAGGCGCCCCTTGATTACATTATCTCACAGGCATATGTCCTGGTGAATCTTGATGACATACTAATAAAAACTCTACAGTTTTTTTTTTTACCTGAAGTCACTTCAGAAGGAGCTATCTTTTCTTATTCTTTTGTGTTGTCCCCCCCCCTTTTTTTTTTTTTTACAACATATGCATTTAGGGCTATACATTTTCCTCTAAAATGTCCTAGCTTCGTTATCACTCAATTTATTACAGAACAAATTGTCCTTTCCCATTACTGAACTTACCAAGTAGGAAATGAGATGGATTCTGTCAGAGATTAGAGGTCCAGTCAGACTTCTTCAGTTCTGGAAGAGTTTATATTTACTGATGAGCTATGGCACAAATACAGAAATTCAACTGACTGAGGAGAGTAGGGGAAGAGTAATAAATCCTGGCAGACAGGTTTCTATCTAAGTCATTTCTTCTTTGGATTTGGTAAACACAAACCCAGTACTCTTGCAGTATCCAGTCTTCTATTTAGCTAGACCACCAGCGCCCAAAAGTGAGTCATGACATTCCAGGCATCACTAAGTCTCCTTGGAACATGCTTGACCTGCACAGGTTGTTTATATTAGCTACCAATAACCACTTCACCTCGTGCCAGTGATGGGTTCTAAATAATGATCATCATAGGAGCAAAAAGAAATCCAGTTATTGAAACTGAGTGATGGGTTTAAGAGGGAGTTTCTTATACTAATCTCTTTTTTGGAGGGATATTGAAATTTTTAAAAATGAAGTCCAAATGTGTGCTCTCCCAAATATCAGTGATGCCCTAGTTCTCCTGCCTATTGATTTCCTCAGTAACATGATTCTAATTACTAAACTCTTTCTCACTTTCTCAAAATATAGTCAACATTCACTTTTAATAATGGACAATTCCTTTTTTTAAAAGGCTTACTGTGGAAAATTCAAACATAAACAAGAGTAGAGAGAATATGATAATGAATCCACTGGGTCCTAGGACCCACCCTTAATAGTTATCAGCATCCTGCTATTCTTTCATCTATATTCCCATTTTTTTTTTACTAAAGTATTAAAATCACATTCATCAAATCATATCATTTTGCCCATAAATAGTTTATGGGCAATAAATAGTATATCTCTAACTTTTCTTTTTATAAAACATAGCATATTTAATGCTTTTATTCTAAGTGTATTCTACTTTTTCTTATGTTGTCTGCATACCACCTTAGGCATTATAATTATAAGTAATCCTGCCACATCCTTTAAAATGTCTACTAGCCTTCCTTCAGGCTTTACTTGGAGTTTCTTTTTATCCCTCATCTCTCTTCTATTGGATTTTTAAGAATTGTGTCAAAATACACATGAAATAAAATTTACCATCTTAACTATTTTTTAGTGTAAAGTTCAGGTATTGTTAAGTACGTTCACCTTGTCATGTACACAATCTCCAAAATTCTTTTCATCTTACAAAACTGAAACTCTATACCCATTAAACAACTCCGCATTCCTCCCTCCTCCCAGCTCCTGGCAACTATCCTACTTTGAATCTGACTTTGACTATTCTAAGTACCTCATATAAGTGGAATCAAACATGTGGAAGACAAATACATTATTCGTCTTTTTTGTGACTGTTCTATTTCATTGAACATAATGTCCTCAAGTTTCATCCATGGTGTAGGAGGTGTCAGAATTTCCTTCCTTGTTAAGGCTGAGTGATACTCCATTGTATATATCTACCACCTGTTGTCTATCCATTCATCCATCAATAGGCACTTGGGTTCCTTCTACCTTTTTGGCTACTGTGAATTGAATAATGCTGCTCCTATGATCATATACAAATAACTCTTTGAAACTCTGCTTTCAACTCTTTGGGGCGTATACCCAGACGTAGAATTGCTGGCTCATATAGTAATTCTATTTTCAATTTTTTGAGGATCCACCATACTTTTCTTCATAGTGACTGCACCATTTTACATTCCCAGCAACAGTATGCCAGGGTTCTAATTTCTCCACATCCTTATCAACACTTATTTTCTGAGTTTTTTTTTTAATAGTAGTCTTACTAATGGAAGGGGGAGATAAACACTTTTTAAAAATGTTATTATAATAATTATCACAATTAACAAAATGAACAATAATTCCTTCATATCCTGTAGTAAAGAAGGGATTTCCAGCATGCCCTTCCCATGGTCTTTCCTGTATCTCCATCCTTCTGTTTCCCAAGATCAGAAGCTTTGCGGTCACCACTGATTCCTTTCTTCTCACATCCCACACTAATTCATTAGTAAAATCTCAAAATACAGGGTTATATAACAGCAGGGTCCTGCTAAAACAAATCTCGGATGGTGATACTCCTCTGCTCAAAACCTTTCTGTAGCTCCCCGTTTCACACTCAGTAACATCAGTCTTTACAATGGCCTGTGAGGCACCGTGTGAACTCAGTCCAAGTCACTTAGCTGAGCTGCTGTCTTAGCTCTTTCCCCTTAATGCAATCTGCTTTAGCCGCTTGTGCCATCTTGGTGACCCTTCAACACACTACCATGCTCCTAGTTCAGGGCCTTTGCATTTACTATTTTTCTTGCCTAGAATGCTCTTTTCCTTTGGTATCTGCTTGACTCACTCCCTAACTCCTTTGACATGTCAGCTTCACAGGCAGGCCTTCCCTGAACACCTTTTAAAAAAACAGAAATCAAGGGCGCCTGGGGGGCTAAGTTGGTTAAGCAGCTGCCTTCAGCTCAGGTCATGATCCCAGGGTCCTGGAATCGAGTTCCGCATCGGGCTCCCTGCTCAGCGGAGAGCCTGCCTCTCCCTCTCCCTGCCTCTCTGCCTACTTGTGCTCTATCTCTGTCAAATAAATAAATCTTTAAAAAAAAATAAAAAAAACAGAAATCAACCCCTTCCCCCCGAATTCTTTATTCCCCTCCCCAGCTTTATTTTAGCCTGTAAACTTTATCATTATCTGACATATCATATATGTTACTTGCTATTTTCTGACTCTGTAATTCAAATATAAGCTTCAAATGGATAAGAATTTTTAGATAGATCTTTGGCACATCATGTTCAATAAATAATTGTTGAGTCGATTCAGTTCACATATCTATACATGTATTTGTGGTTGCTCCCCAGATCTGCATCACAACCTTAAAAGCAAAATGAAAGAATGTACTTCTTTCCAGAGCAAGAAGACTGGCATAAATTGGACAGATGATGAAAAAAGAATCTACAGGGATAAAAGAATAGCTCAAACTCAAGAAATATTGCAGTATTTGCTCCCTATCATGGAAAGTACTAAAAATGTACAAACCCCTCAGATGAAACAAATACTCAACCCAAGAACCAACTTCCAAATTCAACATCAGTAAGTCAATACAATTTTGTCATTCTCAGCTATTTAATACATTTTTATAAGGAAGCAATGCTTATTAATTCATTATCCTAAGAAACAAACATATGCTCTTAAAAATGGTGGCGGCTACACCACATGTGACAAAGGAGCAAAAACCAAAGCCATTCAGAAAACACTGTATATGTGAAGGGAGTAGGTTATCAGGCCTTATTTGATTGTTTATTTGCGTGAATTCACTCGTTAATTTGGATCTCTAAGTAAAGTATGTGTGAATAAAGTATGACTGTAGCCTGACCAGATTTTTCTGATGTTTAAGCCTTATAATCCTAGGGAGCAACCAGAATTAGAAATAATTGACTTGAATTACTTAAGCTTACTGATATTCAGAGGAAAGCATAAAGAATAAGACCAGATTTCTTTTAAAGATAAAAAAAAAAATAGAACCGTCACTAAGACTAAAAGGAAACACATATACCTAAAAGACAAAAGCAGGCTGAAAATAATATTATTAACAAATCTTGATGAAGTATCTTGTGTGTGCTACACACGATTCTGTGTTTATATGCACATGTACATAATGTTTTTACATTCTACATGTAAGGAAATTGAGGTAGAAAGAGATTAAGTAATTTGTCCAAGGTCACACAGCCAATAGACATTCTGTTTTCAGAGTCTGTTTTATTCTCTTTAAAATATAAATGAAAAAACAGAGGGCCAACAAACTTAATATTCACAGATAACCTACACAGCAATGACAAAATTGTGAATATTTCAGTAGGAAAATGAGCAAAGGCTATGAACCAGAAATTCACAAAAGAAAAAAATTGGTCAATGAACATTTAAAATGTTTAATCTCACTTAAATTGAAGGAGTGCAAATTAAAACAATAATGAAATACTATTCATTTTTGCTTCTCAATGGAAGAATTCACTCACTGATGGTTGGAATATGAACTGATACAGAGTTGTTTTTCTTTTGGTTTTGGGGGGTTTTTTGATGCAGAGTTTTGGAAGGCAATCCAACAATATAAATGAAAAATCCTCAATATCATACATTCATTTTGACTAAAAAATTCCACTTTTAGAAACTAACCCTAGGGATGGGGCGCCTGGGTGGCTCAGTCTGTTAAGTGTCTGACTCTTGATTTTAGCTCAGGTCATGATCTCAGGGTTGTGAGATCAAGTGCCACATCAGACTCTGTGCAGAGCATGGAGCCTACTTAAGATTCTCTCTCTCCTTCTCCCTCTGCCCCTCCCCCACCTCTTTCTTCCTCTCTCTCAAAAAAAAAAAAAAGAAAAAGAAAAAGAAATTAAACCTCAGAAAAAGGGGGGAAAAAAACCCAGGTGAGAGGTTTCCGTAGTGATGTTTACTTCTTTATATTTTTTTAAAGATTTATTTTTATTTTAGAGAGAGAATGAGTGAGCGTGGGTGGGGAGAGACAGAGGGAGAGGGAGAGAGAATCTGAAGCAGACTCCCCACTGAGCACAGAGCTGATGTGGGGCTCGATCCCACAACCCTGAGATCATGACCCGAGCCGAAATCAAGAGTCAGACGCTTAATTGACTGAACCCCAGACACCCCAATGTTCATTTCAGTATTATTTATAAGAGTCAAAGAAAAAGGAAAAGAAATGAACCTAAATATTCAATAGAAAAATTGCTTAATTATAGTATATCGATAAAATGAAATATTATGTAGCCATGAAATATTAAGTACAGATTAATTAACATGGGATACTCTTCACAATGTATAAGTGAATAAAAACTACAGAACAACTTTGGTATGGTTGCATTTATAGACTATGTAAATCTATTTAATGTGTGCATCTTATACACAAACACATATACACCTAGAAAAATCTCTGGTAGCATAGTCCCAACAATGATTCTCTCTGGATAAAGCACTGACAGAGAACGATATTCCTCTTTATGCTTTTTTCCCCCTAAATTTTTATTAATGCCTACTTCTTTATAGTATAATCAGCAAAGTCAATACAATTACAAGAATAGGCAATTGGTGACAGTTTCTAATCAGAAGGAATAGCTATCATGCTGGGGAAGGCAGTGCCTAACAGAAACTGTGTTATACCTAACTAATCAATCATTGAACACTACATCAAAAACTAATTATGTACTATACAGTAGCTAACTGAACATAATAAAAAAAGAAAAGAAAAGAAATGATATCTAATAGGTCAGCTTATATGGGAGAAACAGCATACATAGGCCCAGGCAAACAAGGGATCAAACACATGATAATATCAGCAGACTAAAAAATCAGGAAACTAATAACAAAATACAGTGGACCTAGGCAAAGGTGACAAGACATAGCTTGATCTTTAATCATTTTCGTGAGAGATCTCTTACACACTTGAACCCAGAAATGTACTCAGTGTGGATTGGCCTGAGTCTGGAAGGGTAGACAACTAATAGATTGTATTAATTAAGAACTCTTTGGTCGCAAATAATAGAAACCAATTTAAGCTAGCTTAATCAAAAATATAAGGTAGGGTAAGAGGTAAGAAGTATAAGAAAATCCAAGACTATTTATGGAAATAAAAGGGAGAGAGATTTCAGCCAAGTCTCAGAAAAGGGCTGAAACTAGAGAATGGAAAGCCACCCAAACTCTTTATCCATCTTCAATTTCTGCTTTTCTCTCTCTACAGAAAACTTCATACCTCTTAACTGCACAAATTTGCATCCTCCAGAACTTTCACTTACAAGAGTCACTGTCTCTCCTTCCCGATTCTAAGTTACAGGGAAAGAGATTCTGATTGGCATCCACGCCAGTGGGTAGAAAACAGATAGTTACAAATGGCTGATGGAGGGGCACCTGGGTGGCTCAGTCAGTTAAGCAGCTCGGGTCATGATCCCAGGGTCCTGGGATCGAGCCCCGCATTGGGCTCCCCGCTCAGTGGGAGGCCTGCTTCTGCCTCTCCCACTCCCCCTGTTTGCGTTCCCTCTCTGTCTCTCTCTCTGTGTCAAATAAATAAAAATAAAGAAAACCTATAAAAAAAACAACAACAACAAATGGCTGATGGAAGGCCTACCCTTGTGGATCAAGAGGTAGTCAGTCCCCAGAGAAGGGCACCTTGTGCCTGGAGCCGACCCTTCCCCAAAGTATCTACGTAGGTATACATGGAAATAAGAAAAAATAGGAAAATGGCAAGCAAGACCATTCTTAACAGATTAATTCACTATATACTTAAATACAATCAAGTGGATATTTTTTGCTCTTTGAACTTATTTCTTTATGGCTTTATGTATTTTGTCTGACTGGCTCAGCACACATACTGTCACCCATAGTAAGTGATTACAGAGCAAAGTGAGAATAAACCAAAAAATGAGAAAAATCACACTTTTGTCAAACCATTTTAGACATCTATCCAAATTTGGACTAGGGAGAGAATACTTAATGTGCTTCCACAACTGGCAGAATTCTCATCCTACAGAATGTAACAGCTGAACATAACTTTAGGGCTGGAACTTAAATTGTCCGTTCTGTTTGTAACCAAAGTGAATAGAGTCTAGGTGGATACTAATCAATATCATATTAGCAAGATGATTTACATCTCTTTATCTCTGTCAAACATTGGTCAGAAATCAGATATTAAGCAATAAATCTCATATCTGGCATTCCATCTATTAATGATAAAAATTCTTGAGAAAGACTATGCAGATCAAAATGGGACTGGAGAGATTTTTCACTTCCAGGAAGAAATAGATGCAGCTTCCAACTCTTGGACTCATTGATCTTTTTACTGACTATAGAAAAAAAAATGTATAGCATATAACTAAGTATATTCTAATAGAATAAACAAGTAGATTTTTAGAGAAAAGTGGAATTTTAGAGAACATTTACTAACTAGATGTATAGGTAAGGCACTGAGGTCCAGAGTGGCCATTGTATTGGGAAGCTTGGGTCAGGACAGGTATCTCAAACATATCCTCTTGGCATTCAGAAGTACAGGAGGATGATATTCCTTTTTAACCACTCTTCAGGAGTGGTTCTGAAAAATCATGAGCAGAAATTGAAGACATAGATCATTCTCATAGAAATAATGGTAAAGGTCCTATGGGAAGATGAATTCACCAAAGGATTTAAAAATAAGACTTAAACTAAAATACCTAAGGACTACAAATACCTAGGGTACACGACAAAAACTCATGTATTTCATTTCTTTCCTAGACTAATGCCAGCTACTTACATAAATATAAAGAGATACAGCACATCCTGGACAGCACCCAGAAATCACCCTTTTATAAGCCAAAGGAATCTTACGGTAAGCTCTCCAGAGTGGCTCCAGTCTGTGTCCCAGAGATCACTTGAAAGTCTGTCACCTCTCACAGTGCCCAAGAAGAAAAAACACTCTCGAATCAAGGCCACAAAGACTAAAGACATGAAACCTCTCAGCAGCAAATGGGAGACTACTCCCTCAAATTTTGAAAAGGATGCGGATATTATCAAAGAAAAGAGTCTTCAAGCTGAAGAATCCAATGAGCAAAACTCTACGCAAATAGCTCCACGTCCAACTAAAAATAGGGTTGAGCAACCAAGTAAGAATCATGGACAGCCCACCTTCTATTTGAAGTTCCAAAGGGACAAATAATTTAGCTTTATGCTATACTCTGAAAACCGTGGATGAAAAATACCATATGCTTACATAGTAAAAAGAAAGAAAAAGAAAAGCCCTCCCCAGTCCTCTATCTCTGTCCCTCCCCTTACACATACATATGCATATACTAAAAGTTTAGATAACCCATCTTCATTAGTGACAACATCTTTCAGAGATTTAGAAAGAAATCCAGAGAAAATACAGAAAATTTAAAATCTTATTTAATTTTTGCCAGGATGGAAAAAAAATCTATGAACTTTTGAATTCTCCCAAAACAACATATGCATAGAACACCAAAAAAACTAAGAACTCAAGGACAGAATGACATGTACCATCAGTGACTTTAACATCCCTACTAGGCACCTTAATGAATCAGTCAACATCTTTTCTTGAATTTCTGTTTTATCTTTAGTGTGCTAGAAACCATCAGTGATGTAAAAGACATTTCTCCCCACTAGAAGATTACTGTATAATTGTACATATAAAACACACAAGACTAAAATAATTACAGAATAAGAGTGTGCATAGGAAAGTACTAAGTTGTATACCTCCAACAATTAAAGAAAATACTATATATTAAAGGACATTAATTGCACAGAGCAAGTGTGTCACAAAATGGCACTGAAATGCATAGATTATGGTATACAATGGTCATTTTACTTCTCAAAATGTAGCAACAATGTAAAAGATTAGATGTGCACTTTGCTTTAGAGCTAATGAATGTACATCTCCAGCCATTTGTTCATGTGAAAGCAAGTAGAACATCTCACAGTTTATCATGGATAAGACAGCGGTGGTGGAATTCCTCAGGGACACTGCAGAGAAATAGGTATGTCAGGCAAATAAGTCAAGATGGATGTGATAAGTGAGAAGACAAGAGTCACAGGTCACCAGTGGTGTCCATTACAGGATAAGGATAAGCAGAATGAGAATCAGGTAGATGAGGCACATGAAAGTTATAGGCTACAAGCTAATTAGGTCATGGTAGCAAGATGGAACTAAGAAAACCTAAGGTTGGGTAGTCTACTCTCAACAATTACAATAGCCAAAGAGGGTTCAAGGAGAGCTCACTGGGATGGTAAATGAGTAACTGCTATATTTTTGTCTTGGTTTTATTTTTGGTTTTAATAGAGTTTATTTTTTAGAGAAAGTTCACATCAATACTGAGCAGAAAGTACAGAGATTTCCCCCATAAACTCCTTGATACCCACACATACATATACATAGCCTCCCCATTATCACCATCGCCCACCATTTATTACAACTAATGAACCTATACTGATACATCATTACCATCCAAAGTCCATAGTTTACATTAGGGTTTACTCTGAGTGTTGTACATTCTGTGGGTTTGGACAAAAGTCTAATGAAATATATCTACCATTACAGTACCCATACAGCTTAGTTTCACTGGGCTGCCTGGAGTGGCTCAGTCGCTTAAGCATCTGCCTTTGGCTCAGGTCATGCATGATCCTGGGACTCTGGGATCAAGTCCTGCATCAGGCTCCCTGCTCAGCGGGGAGTCTGCTTCTCCCTCTCCCTCTTGCTCGTGCTCTCTCTCATGCTCTCTCAAATAAAATCTTAAAAAAAAAAAAAAAAAAAAAAAGGTAGTTTCACTGCCCTAAATATTCTCTCTGCATATTCATCTTTCTCTCCCCACTAACCCCTGGCAATCACTCATCTTTTTGCTGTCTCTATAGTTTAACCTTTTCCAGAATATCACATAGTTGGACTCACATAATATGTAGCCTTTTCAGATTGGCTTATTTCACTTAGTAATATGTATATAAATTTTATCATGTCTTTTCATGGTTTAATAGCTAATTTGTTTATAATGCTGAATAATATTCTATTGTCAATAAAATTTATAGACTTATGGCAATGTTAACTAAGAAAAAAAAGACACAAATTAATATCAGAAATGAGAGACTATCAGTACTGATACCACAGATGTTAAAAGGTTAATAAAAGAATATTCCAAACAACTCTCTACTCACAATTTGGTTAACCTACATGAAACAGACCAATTCCCTGAAAGACGCAATCTGCCAAAATTCACACAGGAAGAAATAGACTAGCTGAATAAGCCTGTATCAATTAAAGAAACTGAATCAATAAATAAGTTGTCAAAAGAGAACTCACCAGGCCCAGATGGGTTGACTGAATTCTACACAAAATTTAAGAAATTACACCAAATCTCTACAATCTCTAACAGAAGGCAGAAGCAGAGAAAATACTTCCTAATAGTGTATGAAATAAAAAATGGTACGGCCACTTTGAAAGACAGTTTGGTGGTTTCTTACAAAACTAAACATACTCTTACTGTATAATCCATCAATCACAGTCCTTGGTATTCATGTAAAGGAGTTGAAACTTATGTCCACAGAAAAACTTGCACACGGATATTAATAGCATCTTTATTCCCGAGTTGAAACTTATGTCCACAGAAAAACTTGCACATGGATATTAACAGCATCTTTATTCCTAAGTGCTAAAACTTGAATGAAACCAAGATGCCCTTTAGTAGTGGAATGGGAAATAAACTATGGTACATCCAGACAATGGATTACTAAAGAAATGAGCTACCAAGCCATGAAAAGACATGGAGGAACCTTAAATATTTATATTGCTATCCATTTATAAAAATGAATGAGGTTGTCCAATTCTATCCATTACAGAAAAGCTGGTAATGAACTAACCCACCCTCTAGAAACTAAAACCAAATCATCTACATGAAATAATTGACTTCAGGCAATAGACGGTGAATAGCACAGGACTGCGATGCTTGTGAGAAGGAATATATGGGATAAACCCCCATTAAGTCCCACCTTTCTCCCTAGAGGCATTTTCCAAACCCTGGTTCAGAGAAGTGGAACCCAACAATCTTACTGGCCAGACAAAACAGAGATCAGAGTTTGCATCTGCTACAATAGCTGAAATTTAGAGGCAGGGTGCTGAAAAAGAGGGAACCACAGAAAAATAGCCTCCAAAATCTATGTAGAAAGTTCCCCTCAGGTCCTTGACCATATCCTAAGATGTTTATGTAAAGGCAAGTGTATAGTGAACAGAGTAGAAAAGAGTCCTGGGAAGACACTGGAGTTCCAACTCAACCAGAATGGACACACCTTGGTGAAAATCTCCAACACTGAATTGAAACCCCAGAAAAAAACATGTCCTGTGAATAAAGACCATGCATAGGAGCAAGGGTTCTATCCTAGGACGAAGGACAAAACTGGAATAGAACATTCGAACAAAGATTAAAATAAAACCCCAACAAGATAGAGATAATCTGCTAGTAATGCAAATTCTTCCAGAACAAAACTAAATATTCTTTAGAAGAAGATAACATAATCCAGCCCTTCTATAATGTATTAACACCATGTCTAGCATGTAATTAAAAATTAGGAGACATGAAAAAAAAGGTGATGAATAGTCAAGAGAGAAAGCTGACAACAGAAGCAGACCCAGAGATAATCCAGTAAATGGAGTTAACAGAAAAGACTTTGAAATGATCATTATGTTAAAAATTATACAGGAAAAGGTGAACAAAATCAATGAAAACATGAAGCATTTCAACACAGAATTAGGCTTTATTTTAAGAAAGAATCAAATTGACATTCTAGAACTGCAAAATACAATCTCTGAACTTAATCATTCATTACATGGGTTTAACAGCAGGCTAGATACAGCAGACCAAATCAGTTTTAAGACTGGTCAAAAAGAGCTCTCCAGAATAAAATTTAGGAGATAAAAAAAAAGGCCAGAATAGAGGGTAAGAGAGATGTGGGATATACAGTCTCTAACTTTCAATGTCTAACTGAGTTCCAGAAGGAGACAAAGAAGTGAATGAGAGAAGCAATATTTGAAGAAATCTGCTGAAGTGAAGCTCAGCAGAGCGCAAGCAGGATAAATGTGAGGAAAACCATACGTAAACACATCATGGACAAACTAGTAAAAACCAAAGGTAAAAGAAAAATTGTGACAACAGCCAGAGAGTGCGGGGGGGAAGCCACATTTCCTTCAAGGGAAAAACTATGAGAATTCGATCTGATTTCTTTACAGAAACTGTTGAAGCCAGAAGAAAATGGAATTGCAATTTTCAAGAACTGAAAGAAAACTGACAACCTGAAATTTTAGGTCCAAAAAAAAAAAAATCCTTTAAAAAATTGAGGCCACTATGAAAGAGGAGGGCCGAGTATCTACGGTGACACCATGCTCTCGGCAAACATGACCCGGATTCTGATCATCTTTGGCTGCCCATGCAGGGCAGCAGGGATGCCAGGAGGAGGCGGGGTTCTGAAGTTGTCCCTGATCTACCAGCTCAGGCAGAGGGCTTTAGGAGATGAAACCAAAGACCCACTAACTCTGGGGCTTTCATCCTGACATCAATAAATTGCCCTGTAGAATTAGGCTTTAAGAATGATCTGCCCTCTTGGCGGAGATGCGGAGAAAAGGGAACCCTCCTACACTGTTGGTGAGAATGCAAGCTGGTGCAACCACTCTGGAAAACAGTATGGAGGTTCCTCAAAAAGTTGAAAATAGAGCTACCATACGATCCAGCAATTGCACTACTGGGTATTTACCCCAAAGATACAAATGTAGGGATCCGAAGGGGTACGTGCACCCCAATGTTTATAGCAGCAATGTCCACAATAGCCAAACTGTGGAAAGAGCCAAGATGTCCATTGACAGATGAATGGATAAAGAAGATGTAGTATATATACACAATGGAATATTATGTAGCCATCAAAAGGAATGAGATCTTGCCATTTGCAACGACATGGATGGAACTGGAGGGTGTTATGCTGAGTGAAATAAGTCAATCAGAGAAAGACATGTATCATATGACCTCACTGATATGAGGAATTCTTAATCTCAGGAAACAAACTGAGTGTTGCTGGAGTGGTGGGGGGTGGGAGGGATGGGGTGGCTGGGTGATAGGCATTGGGTAGGGTATGGGCTATGGTGAGCGCTGTGAATTGTGCAAGACTGTTGAATCACAGATCTGTACCTCTGAAACAAATAATGCAACATATGTAAAAAAAAAAAAAAAGACGATAGCAGGAGGGGAAGAAGGAAGGGGAGTAAACTGGAGGGGGAGACGAACCATGAGAGACGATGGACTCTGAAAAACAAACAGGGTTCTAGAGTGGAGGGGGGTGGGGGGATGGGTTAGCCTGGTGATGGGTATTAAAAAGGGCACATTCTACGTAGAACACTGGGTGTTATGCACAAACAATGAATCATGGAACACTACATCAAAAACTAATGATGTATGGTGATTAACATAACAATAAAAAAATTTAAAGAAGAATGATCTGCCCTCCACTACCAAATAATAAATAAAAGTTATATTTCATTTTTATCTCAGAAGGGTGAGCACTCTTTCCGAATGTAAAGAGAGGTTGCTTAAGTCCTTTTTTTCCATAATAAAGACCTTTTATACCATGGCTGAATTCTTTACTTTTAGAAACATGTTATAAAGTTGTTTTTTTTTTTTTAAAGATTCTATTTATTCGTTTGACAGACAGAGCCAGAGAGCATAAGCAGTGGGAGCGGGAGAGGGAGAAGCAGGCTTCCCGCTGAGCAGGGAGCCCAATGCGGGGCTCGAACCCAGGACCCCCGGATCATGACCTGAGCCACAGGCAGATGCTTAACTGACTGAGCCACACGGGTGCCCCTTGAAACATGCTATAAACTCTTCATTGGCAATTTCTCTTTCAAATACATTATAAACAAACAAGGACCCCTTCACCAAGCATCAGCCCTCCTCGGCCCCTCACCCCTAAGCCTGGCGAGGGCCTCTGTTCTCCTGGCACCCTGCAGGACTCCCTGGCCAGCCTGGGCTCGCTCTTCTTGCTCCCAGGGACAAAGGCTGTGCGGAGAGAACTGCTCGTGGCAGAGTCCTGGGGGGCGGACGAAAGCAGCCGGGGGTGCCAATCTGCGGAGACATACTAGGACAGGGAGATTCTGTGTCAAGAAACCAAAGACGGCAAAGTCAGCTGAGACAGTGACGTGCCCCCCACACC